TACATACTAATTGGCTGAAATGAATATGAGAAAAATCCCACTTAGTTGAACGCTGGAATAAAAAACCTGATTTATTTGGATAGGTGATATTCTCTGATAAAGCAGAATTCTATATAAGAATGCATTTTGCCGCTGTCGTTGTAAAGCTTAAAAAAAAATCCCCTTCGCGCCCTTTTGCCCTCACACAGTCTGTCTCCTTATCCATAGAGACCTAGCGAGCCACGAAGACTCTCATCCTATTTCCTGTGTCTCTAATGCAGACATCCCAAAATGGATATGCTATTTGGCCTGTGCGACATTATATCAAAATTTAAATTGCAAACATTTAAACATAAGGTTTTTTCTTACTTTAATTGTATTTTTTCCATTACCATTTAGTCCTCTTACACCCCCACCCCACTACCACCACAGTTTCCGTGTCCCTGAGTCTTTCCTTTTTGCTCAGTCCCCCCACCCCCTTACCTCCCCTGCCCCTTCAGCTGTCATCCTGCTCTCCCCCTATGAGTCTGTCTCTATTTTGCCTGTTAGTTCAGTTTGTTCATTAGATTCCACATATGAGTGAAGTCACATAGTATTTCTTTCTCCGACTGGCTTATTTCATTTTATTGCGTAATGTTTCCTAGCTCCATCCATACTGTCACAAGGGTAAAATTTTCTTTTTTATAGCCAAGTAGTATTCCATTAAACGTAAGATTTCACACAAGAACTTCTCGTTTCTTTTCACAAAATGAGTGACTGGGCAGCATTCCTGAGGTAATAACAATTGTCCAGAGCTGAGCAGTGATTCTCCATTTAAAAAGTTCCGCACAGCCCCTCCCCTCCCTACTGCCTCACACTCACCACCCCCTTTCACTCATTCCTGTTCCTGACTTCTCCCCTGGATTTGATTCTTTTATTCCTGTCCTAACCACTCCTGTGTGTTGAACTCTACTTCATCTTAATCCGGGCCTCTAGTACAGTTACAATGTTACTGCGTAAACCTGATGAAGCACTTTCTAGCATAGAGCCTGTGTACAACTTCACAATACTACTTGCCCTTATCCTAAACTCCCAATCCTGCCTCAGTTGGCACACACATACCTTTCTCTGTTTGGGTTCCCTTTCCAGCATCGCTAAGCTCAACTAGCTCTTCCTTAGTGTCTACTTGGTCAGCCAAGAGTCACTCCCTCTGTTCAATTAACAGTGATTAATTCCAACAGTTACATGTAGTGTTACATAATCATATGTCCATCCCCTCCAGGAGACTGTGAGGCAATAAAGGGCAAAAACCGGGTCTTACTCATCTTTGCATCCACAGATCCTGATCGTGCTTGATAAAGAATCAATGTGATAATTGTATGACATATACTAGGCCCATTTGTATCAGTTGGCTTGAGCTAAATTATGCTGTGGTACCAAAACCTCAGTGGTTTATAAAGCAAGGATTTATGTTTGCATCATGGATTGCTGCATCCTGGCTCCATCCACGTCTTCACCTTAGGTTCCAGGTTGAAAGAAAAGCCCCACAGACTGCCAATTTCATTGCAGAACAAGAGATTGGTGTCCACGTTCTGGCTCCTAAGGCTTTTAGGCTTCTGCTTAGAAGTGGCACACTTCATTTCTTCTCACATTCTGTTGGCTAAAGCAAATCATGTGCACCAGCATGAAGCCAATGGGGCAAAGATGCAAAGTCCTCTTAAAAGGCAAATGGCTTAAACTTTAATAGAATTTACCTCATCGCCATCACATCCAGCTCGCCTTTTTAGGGGCGTGGAAACCTGCAGAACATGCTTCTCTGTCAGCTGGCTTCTGCTAACGGGAAGCCTGCGCAGGAGGTGGGAGAGTGTGAGGCTGGGAGAAGCCAGGGCATTTGCCCCCTCCCTATCGCAGGGGACTCCTCCCATGGAGGACGTTTTGCCTCCATGGCTCCAACTCTCACCAGATGGGCCCGCCGAGCTTTCCGCTTCTGCTGAGTAGCCCAGGACACTATGACTTTAGAGTTAGTTGCATACTTTGATCAGTCTCTCAATCTTCAGGATGTGATCTGCTCATATCCAGTTGTTTCAGAAATAAATTTAAAGAATGTCCATGAAAATATGTGAAAAATGAAGTGGTGGACAAATGAAGTTCTTGAGGGAATACAAAATGAGCCAACATGGTGCAGATAAAAAGAAATGAGGCTGCAAATCGTAACTCCTGGGTTCAGAAACTTGCTCTGCCACCAACCCATCCAGGTACCACCATGTTCTCTATTTTCCCCACCTATAAACTGGAATAACACAGTGTTGACAATGGAGTAGTTAGAGTAGCAAAAGTGAGAATGAGTGTCTGTGAAGATGTATATTGCCACGTGTATAAAGTTATAGAAATGTTAAATGAATTCACTAGTTCTAAGCAGAAAAAAAACTTTATTTCTATCAAATTAAAAATCTTCAAGCAAGATAATCAAAATAATCAACAAGACAATTAACAGTTAGAAGAGCATTTACAGATTAGGTTTAGATACTTTGAATTAAGCACATACACACAAATCAAGAGGGCCAACGACTTTCACACAAAGGGGAAGCACTGACTCATCGTAAACACATGACTTCTGGGAAAGTGAAGCTGACATTTCACAGGACAGTAAACCAATGAGACAAGCTGTCATTAGGTTAGAGGACTGATCTGAGCTTGAGAGGGATCACAGTGAAATGCCATTGGAACTCAACAATTTCCCCCAGACATCTGTTCTTCTCAAAAACAAGAATATATAAAAATCAGTAGTACAAATTCTCATAAAACTAGAAAAGCCCTCTAAATCCTGACACCTCGGAGCTTACATAAAGACTGAATTTTCATTTTTCTTCTCTTTAAATTAAACACCAGTCAATTTGTTTTTATTTAGTACATTCCTGACTTTAGAGCCAAAGCTTTAAAATAAAGAAAATAAAGGTTTAATGAAATGGGGTTAGACACACACCAATCCCAGGGAGAATCTTCTAGGTACACTGCTCCTTTGAAAAGTTTTAAACAGGAAATCTTTTAATTCAAAGATACTGAACTTCCTGAATAGCCTAATTATCACTAAGGAAGGAAGGAAGGACTACCCATGCCATACAAAAACTTCTCTCTTTTGGAAATGTTTTACCATCTCTCTCTCTTTCTCGTTCTCTCCCACACACGCACACTAATTAAACTGGGGAATTCCCTGAAGCATACACAAAATGGCATTTATTTTGGCAAGAATTGTGCAATTTGTTAAAAGAAAGATAAGGTATGGCATTTATAAACAATTGCCATTATCATATATCTGAACAGATGCAGGAAGCAGATTTTTCTTCATAGCTGAAATATGGCTTCACGGTTTCCCAACATCTGTGTGTTGCACACTTCTCTGGAAACCAGACTGGGTCAGTTTTATATGGAAAGGATTGATTACTTATGACCAGACCACATTCCTATATTGAAAGAAATCTCCATTACTGGGTTCTTCTTTTGAGACACCGAACAGACAAGGGAGTTACTAAAAATGGAGAGGAAGAGAGAAGCAATTCACACTGTGAACATGACTCTGCCTTTATGAATTGCCTCTCTGGCAAAATTAACTGCAGCAAGAAAAGATACTGTCCGTTAAATGAAAGGTAATAAATGAAATTCATCAGGTAGATACGGATGCCTCCCAAGATCCCGTAACCCAGGCAGAGTACAGATGAGACATATATGCCCTCTGTCTATACAGTGTGTAACTACCACCAAGACGCATCGAGTGCCCCTTTCCTCTCTCTGCACCGAAGCGCTAAAAGAAAGATTCTAGGAGGGAGCAAATACATTGTTTTATCAATTATGGAGAATGGAGAGCTCAAACTAAAGAAAGGTACCAAAAAATCAAAGTTCATGTAAACAGGATTATTTCAGTTTTTAAACACAAGGAGGCAAGATAACTGAAATAGTATCTATCACCTAGGGTAATTGTTAAGGATTTAATTAGACAATGCATCTACTGTGCCTAGCATGAAGTAGCAACTACCAGGAACTGCTAAGAATGCCTATACCATAACATCTGGAAATTTGTGGTCTTTATATTTGAGCAAAGACCTCCAGCAGGCTGGTAAACTGTTTAGACAAACAGCTCAAGTCAAATACTGAACTCAGGTTCCAGTGAAGTGAATTTTATAAAAGTCCTATTTATGGGTTTGTACAAGTATCTTTCTAACACTGTCCTGTTTCAACATTTTTAGCGGGAGGAAAAGCCACAGCAGCACCCCTCTCACCCATTGCTACTATCACCTTTTCCTACCAAAGGGGGGCGCATAACCTGGCTGAAGCTGGAGCTCATCTGAGCTGGGCTCCCAGAAGGTGAAGGGGAGTAACGCTGGGGGAGGCAGGTGAGACAGGAAGCGACTCCCCTGGTCCTGCCAAAACTATGCATGAGAAGCAGCACCACAGTAGATGGCAGGCAAAGGGGTGAAGGTGGCATTCAGAATCATGTTAATGTATGATGTAATATAGTGAAATGGTATAAAGTTGGGGTTACCCTGTGGTAGGTACACAGTCACCATTGGTTCATTGGCAAGAACTTTAGGATCTTGGCCTTGTTTGGGTGGGCAGCGAGGGAGTGATTTGATCTCAGGAGCCCAGACCTATGTTTGAGCACCATTGCTGAGGGTGGCTGAAGGGTAAAGGTCTCTTTTGGGGCACAAAACCATGGACACAAAAGGGTAGGTGAGGGACATGAGCTTGCCTTCTCCATGGATTAGCCCGGACTCAAGCCAGCCTACTTTGACAGCTTTTCATTTTATTCATAAATGAGTAGTTACAGAGGAGGGCCACGGGCTCAGAATTTTCCTGTAGCAGCTTCCTTTGCTCAAGCAAAGGGGAAAAGAACAGTATCATATAAAGCTGAATGTCACCACAGGGAACTCTATTATTTTTGACATGAAGCTGCTCTTAAATACAAGCAAAACCAAGCACTCTTGTGCCCTGGGTTGCATGGGACAGGAAACAGGAAGTTAACATCCAGGAGCAAACTCAGGCTGCTGAGTCAGGAAAACCTGAGTGTGAGTCCTGGCTACACTGTTAATTGGCACCAGGAGCCTGGGCCAGTCACTTCACATCGATGACCTTGCCTTCTTCCTTTATAAGTGTGGGGCCATGCCCATCTCACAGGACCCCTGAGAGCGGAATACAGAGCAGGGCAAATGTAGGCTTTCAACTGAGTTTATTCTTGCATTATTATTTATTAATTATTGTACTATTTTCCATATGAACTGTACCTACTTTCATCCCACACTCTATTTATAAAGATCCAAAAACTGCACATATCACTCAGTAGGCCTTTGATAAATGGTACCTATTTTATGTTTGCAATGGCATTAAACACGGCAACATTTTTCCAGTCTAACTAAGCCTGTTAGGATAATGGAAGGCAAAATGAATTCAGAGCTAGTTAGAATCACAGGTCGTAAGGACAGGTATGAATCTTAAGAGGTCATCCTAATTATTTTTGCCTAACGGGGAAGGAACCACATGTGTGGCAGTAGAATGAAAACCGAGAAGAGCTGTCCCTTGAATTTTATTTTTCTCAAAATAGCTACTTTCCTCAGAAAATTTAAAATTTTTACAAAATCTTAATCTATTTCAAAATCATTGAAGGAGTTTGTTGAAGAAAACCAGAAACATATATTTTAGGCCACTGAACATGAAACAAGCATCGTCTTTCAAAGACCATGGAAAAGGTGTTTGTCTTTTATTGATATCGCCTAGCAAGGGGGTCCCTCAGTTGCTGGGAAATCTCAGAAACAGGAAACACTGCTGAGACACACTGCATGACTCTGATACTGTCTACTTTGCTGGAAGGGAGAAGGAAGGGAGTGAAGAATGGAGGAGTCGAGTGTGGAATCAGCGATCAGGCCATTTCCCGTTTCTGATACCTCTCCCCCAGACCCCAAAGGCAATGATTCCACTCCCACGAATGGAAAAGGACCCTCGCTGGGGATAATCACAATGCATGAGGAGGAATACTTATCTTTAAGGCAACAGGGATAAATTTCATTGTCCTTCCCAGAGGAGAGCAAGAATTAAGTGTACAAGGTGGCCACCAAGTCTGGAAACCAAGCAAATCCTTAATAAATGATTTATTGATATTATATTACAGTGAATGACAAATAGTGTTATCTGTATTTTTAGACTTTACGGCCACCCTGTAGAATCTTTGGGATAAAAAAAATTAAGATTTTGTTTTCTCATAATTGTAAAGCTGTATACTTAGTCTAGGCACAGCTAGTGCAACATGTTTCCTCAACCTCACAGGCTCCATTCCCTTTGCCAACTTATTCATAGCAAGCTTGGGTCACTCACAGGAGAACAACACTGTCAGCATCTACATTTAGCAGCATTTTCAAAATACATTTTCTTTATCTTGAATAAAAAGCAAACTAATCTTTTAGTCCAGTAATTCCTTATGGTCTTATTACATCTATACAGAAGATACAAACTTTTAACATTTATGAAGGTGAATATTTCTTCCTTTTTGAGGATTTAAAAAAGACTCCAAGGATTTTGTTTTTGCACAAAAAAATAAAGGAACGGTGTCTACCCATGAGCGTCAGATCAGCAGTTTAAGGAGCCCCTCCAAGAGCTCAGTTCCTTGCTCTCAGCTCTGAGAAAGGAATTTCAGAGGGATAAAAAGCAATAAGTATCTGTATAATTTAATAACATAGGAAGGGAGGAAACAGATGTTAAAAAAAAATACAGTCTAATAAAAATAGCAGGAGCCAAATCCTTTCATTCCAGGATGTCTGAAAAGGAGAGATTCTATGGTGCATGGAGGCAGAAAAGGAGGTGTCACTCGTAACAGAAAAACTGTGGATACAGTCACTCAAAATCAGAGAAGCAACCACCAAAAGCAATTGGCTTCAGCCGCATTGTCTCCAGAGGGGCACATACCAGAGAATGTGGGACAAAGCCCAGGTTACGACCCTTGACATTCTTGGTGAACCAGAGAGCACCACCATCAAGGGTAAAAAGGCTGCTACTATGGCAACATGACTGTCAAAAATCAGCTAGAGCTGGGGGTTATACACCATTTGAAATCCAGCCTGTACGCTTTCTTGTGAAGGGCTTGATACATGTGCAGAGACATCTTTAACATGTCTAGCTGACCCTTCAAAAATCAGAGAAGAGCCTCTTCATTAACACTTTTTACTCATTAGTTTTCATATCAGTTCATCACTTAAACTAGAAAAGACGCAAGCTATCTCAGCTAGCTTCTATTTGGGACATTGCACCAATACTACACATACAACTGAAAGAATGACCACTTCTCATGGTTCTTCCTCCGGGTGGGCTCAGTAAGCTTCTTTGGACTGAATAGGTGTGATCTTGTTCGAGAAAAGCGTGTAAACATAGGGCCAGATTTTGTTAGTCTCCGTTCCGGAAAATTGGTGGAGCACTCCTCGGCTCCTGAAAAACAAAGTCAAACCCACACAGGCATTTTAGGTTCCCTTTTAACATAATATTAGAGCTGATGAAGGTCCTGGGTAAAATGCAATCATGATCCCATAGTTTACATATATCACACACTGCAAAGTGCCTAACTGGCCCTTTCAAATGCCTCAACACTCTTCACCGGGTGTATCTAAAGAAGGCCATAGCTTTTCAATTCTGGCTTACTTGCCACAATGCCACCTTTTAACCTTCCATTTAAAACATATCAAAGAAGGCCCCAGTGGCTGCTATTGAAATGGGCAAGTTTATGAAACACAGGAAGGTGGTACAATCCTGGCCAGATGCTACTCTGGACACAAAGCAATCATTGTGAAGAACATTGACGCTGGCCCCTCAGACCATCCCTACAGCCATGCTCTGGTGGCTGGAATGGACCGCTATCCCTGCAAAGTACCAGCTGCCATGGACAAGAAGAAAACTGCCAAGAGGTCAAAGATGAAGTCTCTTGTGAAAGTTTACAACCATCATCACTTCGTGCCCACAAGGTACTATGTGGATATCCCCTTGGACAAAACTGTCATCAACAAGGACTTCTTCAGAGACCCTGCTCTGAAACACAAGGCCCTACAGAAGACCAAGGTACAAGACTAGCAAGAACAAATGGCTCTTCCAGATGCTGTGGTTTTAGATCTTTTGTTTCAGTCATTAAAAATAAAAAAAAAAATCAAAGAATAACATCATTCTTTGGGGACAGTCCATTATCTGCCTCACTACACATTCCTGAAAACCAAATCACTGACAAAATTTGGGACTCTAAAACCATTATGTCAACAATGATCATAAAATACAGGATAAGTCACAATAGTCTGATCAGGAACCTCTGACCTAAAGGCTAGCTAAGTTATTTGGAGGTGACGAGGTCAGAAATGGATTACAGCAAAGGCTGTAAACTGCGATCCTGAGTGCAGGTACGCATGTGGGTTTCATTTGGCTTACACGCTGTTAGAATTTTAAAATTTGTTGCTAATATAAAAATGGTATTTTTTTTTTCCCCTCCACACAAGAGCCAGATTTCTGCTTCTCTTGAAAAACAGGGATCATTGGTCGCAATGAGCCTGAGTGCTCCTGTGGTGGAACTGACTGAAGCTGCATAGAAGCTGTACAGTTCAACTGTCACCCAACTGCCCCTGATCAGGCTTGACACTCACCCCAATACCTGCCTGGCCCCTGCAGACACTTGAATTTGTAATCTGCAGCTTATAGTTTTAGCTTTTCTTTGCTCAATTCCCCTTCCAGACACATGTAGGCCAAAAGTCCCTTCTAATCTTCTATCCAAATAAAATACTTATGTACAGCTGTGTCAAAATGTAAACCATTATTTTGGCTATTAAAAAGAAAAAAGTCTAGATGCAATTTACAACCACAGATGATCAGGTTTCAGAGCTTACAGTTTCAGCATAAAACTTCTAGGCGTTATCTCCCACAAACAACTCCAGCATTTCATATGACTTCTGGGGATGTGCTAGGCTTTTAGGGCTTATCTAGCTGAAAGAAACACTACCCCACCTCAACCCGAGGGCCTTCTCATGAGGCTCCACACCTTTCCCCCTGGCCAACTGCCATGAAAACGCTGAAGCACACTCACTTGTACAGTTCAATGACTGGCTTTGCCACATCCTTGTACTGTCTCAGCCTGGCAGCAACCGCTTCAGGTTTATCATCCTCCTGCTGGACCAACGGTTCACCAGTAACGTCATCAACCCCCTACAAATACCAGAGAAACCAGTTAATATGGGTAACAGCTGGGTCATTTCATGGGAGAAAACTTTCCAGTGCAAAAGCCACGTATTCACCTTTGATTCTTACCACATAATGAGTTAGGCCTGGGTAACGTGGCCTATGGTAATGGTGAAGGTACTCCAAAAAGAAACTGCACTCTTAAGAGCATGTTAACCTTATTTCATGGGAGCTGACATTAAATCTTTATTAACTTCTCAGATCCTTGCAAACATGTCCCAGTGCCATTGATATATGATATCTCCAATTCAGTTTGAATTTCCATTGCAGCCTCCTTCCCCACAATAAGCAACCTTCAAACAATGTCACTCTGGCCCTCTAAATATTCCTCAATCTGCCTTGTTTTCTAAAGCCTGAGTTCCTAATATAGAAAATTAAATGTTTCAAGTCACCACCAGGTTTACTTAGGAAAAACACTAATCTAGGAGGAGGTATTTCAGTCCCATCTCAGCTAACTTTCAAACTCTATCATGTAGCTTTTCTAGGACTAATCCTACTCAGGTTACTTTACTAAATCAAATAATGACTTATCTAAAGTTGAATCAAAACAGGCATATCATACACCCAAGATAACCAGGAACAAACATTCTAAGAACTAAAAAAAATTGCAATTAAAAAAAAAAACCACCTTATCTTTGATGTATTTTAACCTCCTCAGGAACCATACTTACAAATAGCTAATTCAACACAAGAGAATTTTGCCTCCCATGTCCATGGCAACTGCCCACCAGGGGAGATAGTCAAAAGGAAGGAATCTGTCAGAAGGCAGGCTAGAGCAGAAACAAAGGGCTCAGGCAACTCAACTGGATAATCAGAAACTGGCTCTAAATTTGAAAATGCACTGCAATTCCATTACAGCTCAGGGTCTTGGGTACACACCTTACAGTCAGGATTTATTGGTGAGTCACATAATTATCGTGTGTGTATTCCATGGCTGTTACCCTAACAAAACAGGAACGACAGGGATGGGAGAGGCTGCACATCACCTATATCCCCCACTCTTTTATTCTGCCTTTTGCTACAATGCTCAGAAATCATTTCCAGGACTTCAGGACATGAGCAAATACAACTGCTCCCAGAAAGAACAGAATGACGCGAGGGGAACAGCATCATCCTTCTGGGGGAGCTGGACCACAGAGGCTGGCTGAGTTGGCCCAGACAAGCACTTTCACTGCTGTCTTTGGAAGCAGCATTGTAACTACAAGTGTTATTTTTGAGAAACCCAGGCTTTGGAAAGCAAGTCAGTTGTTAAAGCTTCTCAGATTTTATAAGAATCTTTGCAAAAGCAGGTCTAGGCAGGCCAAAATGGGAGGGATTTTTATTGGACTTCAGTGCATATTCAGAACCCTCTTTTCTTCCTCATCCATTTCTCCCCCATACTAAGATTCTCTGGACGGGAAGGAGAAAGAGATCTAATAGAGGAATTCCAGAACTACTTACATTTGAAAAAGAAGACTTCAAAAGGAGAGTAGTGCTCGGCTCAAATAGCAAGACTCATTGGAACTTTACTGAACCTGTGGCACCCAGGATCTAGGAAGGCATCTTTAATGTTTGTTGCTAAGTTGCTTTTTTAAAAGACCGTTAATATTTCTTATACCTAATGAAGATGAGAGTACCATTTTTCCCAGATCCCATCCAGTAATCAATGTTACAAACTTTAATTTACATTCCTTGACTACTAGTGAATGAGCATTTTAAATATTTGTTGGCTACATATATTTGCTCACTTTTGAATAGTCTCTTCCTGTCTTTTACCCACTTGTCAACTAAAATGTTTTGCCTCTTTCTTGTCAGTCTGTGAAAGCACTGTGCATTTTCTTACGTGTACATTAGGTGGATTGAAGTCCAGGTTATACACCCTCCCACTAGAAGGGTGAATCCAACGGCGGCTGAGACGATCTTTGAGTGTTTCAAATGGAATGTTCAAAGTGATCACCAGATCCAGTTCACAGATTCTGTCCAAGGCTTCAGCCTGAACTAATGTCCTAGGAAAACCTAAATGCCAAAAATAAAACACAACAAATGCAAGACATTCCTCAATTCCAATTATTCAATGAAATATTATCTACCCCCAAAATTTAACTTTAGAAGAAAATTGCCAGTTCATAATGTGGTTCCAGCATTTGGAATACTCAAAGATTAAGGAGTCACATGATAAAAGTAGAAAGTGCACTAAACTAACAATCACGAGATTAGTCGCAGCTCCAGTCTCATCTCTGCTCTCGACTACCTGTGTGACCTTGGACAAGTTATATCACTTTCATTTCCTCTTCTGTTAAAAAAGTGAAGGGTCAAAATTATATTTGTGTCCTTTTAGCTCTAACATTTGAGTATATTATTCGTAGGTTGCTGCAGAAAGTGTGTGTGTGTGTGTGTGTGTGTGTGTGTAAAGAGCCTAAATCAATTAAAGCAGGGTCCTTCACTAAGGTTCACTTAACAAGGTGAGCAAAAATTCAACCCCAAAAGAACTGGTGCCTTGAAAACTATCTGAATATTGCAGAATGTATAAACTCAGCCTGGTTTTCCACATGTGGAAAAATAAACAGCAAAACTGAAATTTGGACTCATGAGCATCCTTCCTTTTTTTCTTCAAGCGTAAACTCTTGGAGACTCCTAATTATGTTTTTTGCCCCCAGGGATTAATCTGCTTGAAATGTAACTCCAGGTTTGGCTGGGGTGGGACTACACAACAGTATATTTTTCCTAAAAAGAATCATTTCAGGTTGTCCGCTCTGTTAAAAAAACTTCCTATATCTAATACTGCTTTAAAAAAAAAAAGTTCTTTAAGTCTTAGGAAAAATTGGTGACTGGAAAGCTGAACAAAAGTATAACAGGTGCATTCAGAAGAGAAACTTGAATCATCAACCTTTCTCCACCTTTCCATCACTGGAAATAATGAAGATGACAATGCAAAGATGGGTCTTCATGGCCCTAAAACACTTCATATGCAAAGAACTCCTTTTCCTACTGCAAGAAGTCAGTTGTTCAAACATGAATGAACATGAATGTCCTACTCTCAGTATTGAAATCCCAAAGTGGTATGAATGTCAAGTTGATTTAGAGCGCTCATTGGGTTAAATGTGACAAAATCCATCCAAAGCAGGTACCAACCACTGCTGAAAACTCTCTCCAATACTCCCTTCATAGCCTTATTTCCTGTCCATGAGGCCAGGCCCTGCTCTTCAAAACCCATCCTTCCCAGGCTCCTCATCAACCGCCTTCCCATAATGTAGAAGGCTCTCTTCTCTGCATTGCAAGGCTCAGGGCTAAGTCATGGATGAAATCCCTCATTTTCCTGGGTCCTGCATGTTACCCAGTTGCAACCCAATTCACCTGTTTCCACAACCCCACCTTCAGGCTGCCCATTATATCATTTTCCTTATCTACGTCTCTAATTTTTTTTCTTCTTTTGTCCATTATCAAATGATATGAAACCCAAAGATGACTTTGGCCACATCGATTTACTTTCAATACTGCTCCCTGCAGTCCTCATTAGCTCTTTTCCACCATTTAATGTGTCAAAGACATCTCTGCCTCAAGGCCATTGGACTTGCTGTTCTATACCCAGAATGATGTTCTTGCAGATCTCTGAATATCTGACTCCTTATCGTTTGGGATATGTGTGCATACGTAACTAACTTCTCAGGGAGGCTTCTTGAACTAGTATATTTAAAATAGCCCCATTCCCCTCCCATTTTCTATCTTATTACTTTTTAAATTGTCTGTTATTTTTACTATAAACAATTTCTTAGCATTTATTTTCTATCTCTACCTCACTTCCTGAGAAAAGGGACTTTTTAAAAGAGATTTTATTTATTTGATTTTAGAGAGAGAGGAAGGGAGGGAGAAAAACATCAATGTGTGGTTGCCTCTCATGCGCTCCCTACTGGGGACCTGGCCCACAACTCAGGCATGTGCCCTGACTGGGAATCAAACCTGTGACCCTTTGGTGCACAGGCTGGCACTCAATCCACTGAGCCACACGAGCCAGGGCTGAGAAAAGGGACTTTGTCTTGATCATTGCTATACCCTTTAGCACCTAAAAAAATTGACACAGATGTGTAATTTAGTATGGCCTTATTTCCAAAGTTTATGCCCTGATAAACTTGCTTATACTTTGCATCTAAGGTTGCAAGTCCATGAGAAATTATTTCCTACATCTTACAAAATTCAACATGTGGTCTGCGGTCCAGCGCAAGTCTGGGTCCCAGTAAGTACAGAAACAAGAAAAAGCATTTAAGAACTTCATAACAATTCCAGAGGAACTTCAAGTCTGTTGAACCTCAAATTTGGGCTTGAATTTGTTTTTGGATTTTTCTAGTAATTTGTTTTCATTGTATTTAACAAAAGGATTGTTTTGCAATGGTTTGGGAAAAATAAAACTGGACTTTCACTACAGATGGTTTGTTCTAGGTTTCCCTTGGAGCTTACGTTCTAATTTCTCCAATAAGGGAAATTATCCAACGGCCCCAGTATGTAACTTTTGATGGTGTTTATTACAGAAGAGATATAAACTAAGTTGCATCTCTTCCCAAAAGGACACAAGAACAGAGAGAACCAAACCTGCAGTACATTTCAACTCTACTCTTATGACAAGGACAGAATAAGTTCAAACAGAGGTGGGAAAAGACTTATCTCGTAGGTACCATCTCAGTTCACTTGCTATCATGTGCTTAACCCAAGGTATATACACGTCCCCACTAGGCAAAAGAGTTGTTCCAGCATTTCAGGTACATCAGAAGAAACTGCTTTCGCATTCTCAGAGCTGTCCTCTTCTGATCCACTTTGCATTCAGGCAGGTTTCAAAGGAGAAATTCAACTGAGACATTGGTATTTGTGATCTTGTAGTCCAGGCTCTAGTGCTAACAGCCACCCAGCCACTCTTCCTCCCACACTGACTCTGGCTAAGCAGCCCCTTCCTATAAAGGCACCCAAATGTTGGGAAATTATGCTGGAAAGTATGTTCATAGTGGCTTTCTTTTGCAATGAAAAGATGGGTGATTTCTTTCTACTCTTCTACAGTTTCTAATTTTTCTAATTGAGCATAGAGTATTTTCAGAATGGAAAAACATCTTACCTTTAAATAAAGGATTGCCAATTACTAGATTTTTTTTCAAATCTCAACATAATTTCTGTTAGACCAGGTTTATGACCACTTGACATTTGGGGAAGTGAAATATGTCGTATTTGCCCAAACCACGCATGTACACCATGGAAACCTTGGCCTTAGCCTTTGAAGGCAGCAATGCCTGGCACACAGTGGGCAAACACTTAAATGTTAATACTAGAGTAGTTGTCTTCTAGTTTTCCATCCATTGACCATACTTATTTGATCAGTCCACCTTATTTTAAAATCCCAGTTTAAATCCATGAAATTATATGATTCTTTTGAGATCTGTAAAGTCAATATGTAAACTTCTTTCTATTATGGAATGGCTTGATTGCTTTAATATAATTTAGTAAGCAGCTTCTCTTTTCACTATTGTCTTTAAAAAATTGAATTTTATAATTTCAGCTTATAGCACATTTGTATGTATTCTTGAGCCCCCATATAGCTACCAGGTAGATAACATTGTGATGCTATCTGAGTCACCGAAGAGTAAGACTGGACCCATGCGAGCCCTCAGGGCTCAATTCAATATATGGCTACAGACACTGGAGGGTAGGGAAGGAGTCTCAGAAGAGTTCAAATAAAACCATGCCTCTTTCACCTCTCCCATTTCCCATTGAACACCTACATGCCCTGAACTAGACCCTTTCCTCTGCTTCCCTTCTCCCAACAGCTCACTGTAGATCATAATGATGCTAGAGAGAGAACAATGGGAGCAGGCCTGGGCACTGTGCTATGTCTATTAGTTGACTTTAGCCTTACCTCCCCTACATTGCACCAGAGCCTGGCCTAGAAGATGAGCTTTCTGACAGAAAATTTAAGGTGTGTCTTACTCCCCTTGCTATGCTCTGGTACTGAGCCTGGTACATTCTACACAGAAATTCCAGCAAAGAGAAGGCTGTGCACCTTTCACACAAAGGCACCCTCTCACCTAATGCCAGGTCCTGGCCACCTGGAATTAGAAAGGTTCCTGCGGCCAAAACAAGCCCAAGATCAATCTCTATGGTCTTTCCCCAAATCCTTTTTAAAAAATATTTTTTCTAAAGCAGTAGCTTCCAGTGACCCTTACTGGAACACAGAAAGAAAATAAGATAACTTCTATTGTATTTTTTTGGTTTGTTCTTTTTAAACTTCTATTTTAGAGGATATATTTTATAATGTATATAATAAAATTGTATGCACACATAATTTATATATAAATATCTAAATATTGAAGATGAACACTCAACATTTTACTGCTAAGAGTGCACAAAGAATTTAGAGATCATGCCACTGAAGACCTGAGTTTTCAGCCACAGGCTCTAGTCTTGTATTCTAGCCACTGCTCTCAGAAGGATACGTTGTTCATTATCCTTTGGATAGAGGCTGAGAGCTGAAAAAAGTAGTAGTAAAGAATAGGGAGCTCTACAGGAGAACATAACCATTTTTCCAACAAATAAAAGTTCAAATCTTACTGTTGGCTAACATTTCCTTGCAAGCCAATCTGCTCAGGTTCCCAACTGTTTCTGAACTCTGGGGCCCTCTGGAGTAATGGGCAGAAAATGCAACTATGTACAAAATAGGCGGAACTCAGAATGAAACTACTCTGGGCAGTCCTCACCTGTTCAGCTCTCACATTCAGAACTGCTAAGGACCACAGAGAATAGTTAATTCTGGTGGCTTAGAGGTCTTCGGTTAGAAGAATGGCTCTGATCATGTCCTCCCAACCTCAAAATAGGTTCACGTTATAAGAACCATGCAAAATCCAGAAGTCCAAGGAAAGTTAAAATTAAAGAGATAGTTTTAAGATGTCAATATTGTTGGAATGTAAACATTTCAATAATTTAGAAGAGCTATTTTCAACCAGTGTGCTGCAGGACACTGGTGTGCCACAGGAATTTTTAAA